CTTGGGCGCTCTATTATTGCCTCCTATTCTTGAGGGGGTGATCGGGGTTAAGCCGCGTGGCGATACCCGCGAAAAACAAGGGACTATTCGCTTTTTGGGGTGGGTCTTTCGTACTCAAATCCGTACGGGGATAATTATTCAGCGCACTCAAATTTAGTGGATGTGGTTCAATATTCATGAAAAGCCAGGTTTGAAATGATCCATGTTACGGAACCAAGACAACCTATCTTACTAATAAGAAGAAAGGGTTAAGGGCCTCCAACGCCTATAAATAGAAGCTTCTTTCAGTCTCTATTTGGCAAAGGGAGACGGGGCCGAACTTAGAAGTCGGTAAGAAAGAGCTTTGAGTAGCCATGGATATCACTAGAAGACTTGAGAGAATGAAACAAGAAATATGTCAGGTGGAAAACGAGAAGCTCCAACGAGAGCAAATGCTGGGTGCGTTCTGGGAACATATGCCTGCTATCGATCCAATTCTCATATGATCTCGTATGCTTTTTATCCAGAACGAAATCCGCTATCTCGAAAACAGGAAGAGGGCGCTGCTCGAAGAACAGCAAGAGCTCATTGTGCGGGCTGTCGCCCTCGGTGACCGGGGGGGAGACTAGAATCAATTTACAAGCGCTTAGCTCTTTCTTTTTTCGTGTTTTGTAATCGAGCAAGACACTTGCTTATCTATGATGAACTATGGGTTTCTTTCTTTTCAACAACTGAGCTATGTCAATTGGATCCTCTTTTTTCCGAGTACTAGGCTTGTTTTTTTTTTCTTGTATGTGGGTGGAAGTTGTGTGTTTGTTGTCCTTTCTAGTCTAGTGCAATCAATAACCAAAAAAGTCTTTAGATCAACTAATAGTGAAAGAAGGAAACGATTGACCCTCCCCCTAGTAACTTACGTCAACAAACTCATGCAAAAAAAATGAAGAACAACATCTGATTAGCCCTTTATAATACTACCCCTGTTTCCGTAATAGATTCCCCTAACGCTAGACTGATAATAAGAACTCCTCTATCAGCCGCATAAGGGCTCCCAAGGCTCCCTTCCTCTTGTTAGGGTCGATTGTTTGGCTTGAGCTTGAGTGGTTGACTTTCTCTCCATGATCTAGCCTTCAAAGAATTCCGATGATGTTTGCCAAACACACAACTTTCACTAATTCGATTGTCATAATCATATAAAGGCAAACCAGAAACCGAAATCCAAATTTCAATCCGGGGGTTGATCTGCGCGGGATTGCTAGTCCCGCACAGACCTTGCACTGCAGACCCCTCGATTCTCTTTCTATATCGATGTGACTGCAGGCATGAGTGCTCAGGTACGCCTAGAGTCTAAATTCCTACTTGACTAAACTAATAATATAGGGCTTTTTCAGTTGTCTTAGTTTTAACGAGAAAAAAAGAAATACAGTCCCGAAGAGCGGAACGGCCGTCCAACTCCCCCAAACACAAGGGGGCGGGCACTGCTCTCAGCCTGTCGTAACAACGAAACAAAACTCCATACCGGAAAATCATTACCTTTTTCCTAGAACGATAGACATTGGTACAACAGGAGGCTCGAGCGACACATCGTAATTTAGGCTAACCTCAGCGTACCATCGGAGAGACTTTAGCCACATCTTAACCCATGGTTGAAGAATGAGGCGATCAAGAAAGTCCTCCCCCTGAACTGGATAAAATGTCCGAAGACCTTCTCTTTCCTTTTCATTATAAACAAAGCGAAGGCGCTACTTAGCCCTATCAAGCAAGCAAGAATGAAGGCCCGTGCGACACCCGGCGTTAACACTCCCCAATCTGGAAATGCTAACCACAGTTTCAATGGTAACGGGAATACGCCTGACGGCGAAAGCATACAAAGAGAGTGACGCTTCCATCGCTTAGATTTAGGGCGATAGGGCGCACCACAGATACGAGAAGAAGCACCCCTCAATCGATAGGTCAAAGACAGAAACATAGTACCAGTTACATCTCTAATCTTTGATAAAATCGGGGTCTTTTCCGCATAATAGCGTCAACCAAAGACCGGAGCATCTTAGCAGACACTGGAGAGAAATCCCTAGTCACTTCGTCGCTCCAAAATCTTTTGGCAAACTCCAAAACATGACTTATAATAAATAAATCTTTGAAATGAGAGACTTTTCTTTAAATATAGTTATAGTACACTGAAACTATATATTATGGTAAGTGCTTATCAAATCATGCACCTTCTCGTCGGCGATCACCGTCGCCAAGAATGGCATAGTCGCAAAGCTTCGTCGTGCCATACACCCTCTCAGCAGCTATCCACACAAGCATATGATGTGTAAAATAGAGGCCAAGAACTCCAAAATCCGAGGGGTTGACCCTTCGTAAACGTCACAACCGATGACCTATAGCCTTTATTATATAAACTATATGGTAATTGAAAGACTACAGAACAAAGTATGAACGCCCAGGAAGTTGCAAAGGGATTTCCAAACAACCCTGCAATCATACAGGACGTCAGGATAACAGGTAAGGAATCGGTAGC